GTTCAATGTCGGCAGTAAATGCTATGCTATGTGTACGAAATTGTATTAATATCTCTAACAATGGTGGATTTAAATTAGGATCGGAATAGAGACAATCATTTAAAAAGTATTCATTTTTTCGAATGGCTGGATGCATCAAATACAACTCTTACGGGTTTATCAGGTTGAATAACTGGCTGGTGAGGCATGTAATAAATTCTTCCTATTTCTTCAGAACTTGGATCAATTTCCTCAGCTAGACCCATTTTTAAATGCTGTTCTATAACTGAGTGATACTGCTGATGAAGCAGTGGATCATTTCTTAACCTTTTAACCAGTTTATTAAAGTGAACTTCTGCATTTACGTAATTCGTTTTTAATTCAGACGAATGTTCATTCCAAGGGTGTTTAACCTCATATCGCGTTTCTTGAAATTTGATAGTTCTGTTAAAATTCTCTAAAATGTCATTATCTATTTTACCAATTTCCTTCCCTTGTTCTATTCCCAATGTTTCCAATTCCCAAAACTGCTTTAACTGTGCTGAGACCAATTTGTCATCAACAATAATGTCCATGTTTAACAATTTACCGTTAGAATCAGTCCGGCCTTGAAGGCACCATCCAAATATTGTTTCGGAAGCTATAAGTTTATTTTTAAAACGTTTAAGTCTACCAGTTATTACTTCATGATAGTAATCTGTTCCGATCAAAACAGCAATATTTTTATCACTGAATTGACAAGAATCAGCTAATTGTAATCCTATTAACTCTTTGTTAATTTTGGAAACTGCGATATCAGGGAAAGGCAAATTAGTTGCACACATTTGGTTAGTTTCTAAAGCTTCAATTTCTATATTTAGGGATGGTTCACTTCTGTTTTCTAGTTTGACTTTAACAACATTGTAAGTTTGTTCTGTTGCCTGGTTAACATCAAAGGCAAATACGGACAAAGTCTCCTTTCAAATAACAGGTAATTTACACTTCTCTGAAATGTCCCGAATTATAAAACTTCTCATCGATCCATTGTCTAATAGAATACGAACTGGTTCTAAATTATCCTTCTCAGAAAATGGACGTATCATCAGAGTACACGTTTGTAGCAATGCACTGTGGAAAGTTTCGGTTTTTAATTGGACTAATCTTGAACATCTTCTTTATTGGATGGAATTGTCGACACACGACCTTGTTTTTCTCCGATTTGGTTTCGGGTTCCGAGTTTGGTATCTAAACAAATAGACCTATTGTGTTTTTTATTACATATTTCGCACATTTTTTTCTTTCTTACACTACACTGCTTAATTTTGTGCTGAGATTTTAGACACAAAAAATATCGGGCTTGAGATTTTAAAATATTTCTTTTCTCCTCCACGGTTTTAATTTCTCAGCGCTCCGAATCGTGTAGTTCGTCACAATATATGCATTTACTGCTAGCGACTGGAGCAATACATATTCATACGTTTTAGGCGGAACATTTTTCAAACTGTTTACTGTGCGCGTTGTTGCTCACATTTTCGTGAGCGGAGTGGAGACGAATCGTTTGATTTATGCCTCCAGTTATGAATCATTTCCGCTCGAATGTTTTGTTTTTGTTTCTCTACTTTCATTAACTGCGTAGCTCTTTCGCGGCACTTTCTGATTTCTTTACGAATAAATTCCATTAATTCGTTAACGTTTCCATGTTTGGTCACTGTTTCTACTGTGCGACTGTATTCTAATGTTATCCTCTGATGGAATTAATTTTAACAATATTGGGCAAAGTAAACTACCGTAAGTTTCTGATACCATGTTCATTGACTTTAAGCATCTAATTTCAGTTTCACACTGATCATATAAATTCCGAAGATTTTCTATATCCCTTACATTTCTAACAGGGGAAAGATTTAACAGTTTATTCATGTGAGCATTTATTACCAAATCTTTTCTCCCAAACCTGTTAATTAACAGTTCTATAGCTGAATCGTAGTTCTCATTTGTAAGCGAAAGTCCGGAAACGGAATTATAAGCTACCCCACCTAGTAATTACTTTAAGTAACTGAACTTATTTACTTTAGATAATGAGTCATTGTTATAGATAGCTGCCTCGAATTGACTCCAAAATTCCTGCCAGTTGCTAGAATCACCAAAAAATTTAGCGATAGTCAATTTTGGAAGGCGAATAATTTTATTATTTTCAAGTTTGGAATCTATAGCGGTTTCATTAGGAATGTTCATACTTTCCTTATCCGAATTTTCGAGTTTGTGTAATTCCCTCAATTTTTTTCTTGCTCTAAATTCCCACAGTTGCATTTTTTCTTCATATTCTAGAGCGGATGAAACTTCAAGTTCAAATTCATCCTCTGGGATCTTCAAATCCTGTTCTATTTGAGTGTTTAAATCACTCAGAGTTTTTGCCTTTTCGTTTAATATGTCTAAAGTTTCTTCTATTACATTTATACTAATGTCATCTTTGCTTAATTCTGTCTCAATTTTTCTTTAGTACCTTTTTTGGACACTGCGGTCCTTAATACTTTGCATTTCGATTTAAGCTTAGCGACAGGATCTTCCATAATTACTTTACAAATCGAAACTTACCGTCCGCATCTTTTTGCAGTATTCGCACACTTCACACCGTGCGAGCCATACTTTGAATCCATATTTTCGAATATTAGCCGGCTTCCCGGCACATCGCACCAAAAAATTTTTATGTACGCACTAATGTACACTAATCGAATCAACGAATGGTCGCTGCCTATGTATCTAACTATGCATCTAACGACGTATCTAAATGCCACATTTAAATTTCTGCAAGCGGTGGTTCAGCTATAATTCTATGAGCAAATACTCAATCTAGTTTTAAAAGGATTTATTAAAATACTAAAATTAATCTAATCTAGAATCTAGAATCGAATCTAATGTTACATCTCAGGAGCAGCGTTCTAGCTGCGTCATAACAAATCTAAAGTCAAGTTCTCACTGTTGCCATTCTGAGGCAGAGAAAAGTTCGTTTCTAATCAAACCGGAACATCAGCAGAGTGAAAGTTTCTAGTCAAACCGGAACACTCACATTTGCTTATCTTAAATGAAACAGTAAAACAGACATGCAAATATAATGCTCATCTGTGTAAATATATCACCACATACTTTAGCTTAATACTTTTATAAGCATTTATTGTATTCTTTATCAAAATTGCTACCCAAAGAAAGTAGTATTCAAAATGTCATCCAGTTTATTAAAGAAAGATGAATAAAAGCATGATTCCTTTAATAAAAGAAGTCGTACTTCACAAAGTTGGGGGGGGGAGGAGATCAAAAATCACTTTATATATTTTTTTTAGTGTTTTGTAAGAATTAATATTAATTAAGCAACTGTATACTTTAAAGATATTCTAATTTTGGCCATCATGATCTAAGTGAAGCAGAATACATAATTTAAATATGATGCATGTTTGTGTGATTAATAAGATATTTGTTAGTGCTGTGATAAATATTTTAGAAGAGCACATTCATATTTTTTAAGATCAAAAATGCCTTTTTAGTAATTAATAGTGCCCTTCAATTTCTTTTATTTATTCCAAATATATAGGGTTCTCCCCCTTCTTTTTGCAGTATTCGCCTGAGATTATAGTATGTTAATTTAGAAATCAAACAACAAAAATTAGCATTATATTTTAAAATTTACTTTCGATGGTTCAGTAAAACCATCGAAACTAGTCCTGTGAAAATTTAAAAATATAATGCTGATTTTTGTTATTTGACTTCTAAATTAATATTTGTTTGGTGTGTTATTGTATCTTAAGTACAGTATGTGTTTAAAAATAAATCTTGATATTTGTATATTTAATTTACTAATTAGTTAATTTGCTATTAGACAGTCTGACTCGGGGAGTCGGGAAGAAAGATAAAATTTTAACGATTTTGATCTTATACAGACTGGCAAATAATCACTTTCTCACATATTGCCATTTAACAGAACACTAATCTTGTTTTTCCATAGTGTAGCTATAAGAGTGACTTAAAAGGCATAAATATGTTTCTTAATTTTTTTCTATAATAATATATCTAATAGATAAAATTTGAAAAATATTTTTCTGTAATAGATACAGCTTGATTATTATTAACATTAGGGCATTATTATAATTAATAAGTTTCTAATGTTTTATAGCATATCCCTCACTAAATTGTTCTTGCAAAGTTGTTCCTCATTAACAGTTTTGTATAATTTAGTTCTTTTGTTACCATTTAATATATATCTGTCCAAAGCCATTATTCTACTGAAAGTGTGCATATTCCTGCCAAACAATGAATTATGCAGTATAAGTTTTTTTCAGTGGTGTATATAATACTGTTATATTTTCAATATTTTGTAGATACAATATTTTATCTGAGCTAATTGTAAACAGAGCTGTTATTTTAAAATTTATTCAGTGCATAATGAGATATTAAGTACATGATTCCAATTTAAAGTATGACCATTTAGAGCTGTCTTTAGGACATTTCTAAGTGTGAAACTAAATTTTATTATGTTTTGAAGCCTTTTTAATATATAGTTTAAATGAAAACCAATTTATAAGAAATCAGTTTTATACATGTCAGCATCACAGTTGTAATTTAATTTTTATTTTTAAATATTTACTAAAAATTATACTTCAGCTGTATTTTTATTACAAACAATTATTTTTTTCTTTTAAATAATGCATGTGTAGCTTCTTCCTCCTCTGCAGTTATGATTTTAATCATGATATCTTCATGTTGCAGAGTTCAACATTTTTTGTTTTTAATTTTTGAAAATTTTCAATAAAAAAAAAAATAAAAAAAAAAAAAAAAAAAAAAAAAAAAAAAAAACAAAAAAAAAAAAAAAAAAAAAAAAAATGAAAAAAAAAAAAAAAAAAAAAAAAAAAAAACAAAAAAAAAAAAAAAAAAAAAAAAAAAAAAAAAAGGAAAAAAACAAAAAAAAAAAAAAAAAAAAAAAAAAAAAAAAAAAAAAAAGTTTAACTTCCTTTAATTTACAATTTCCCCTCATTATATATCATGTTTTTTCGCAGGAAGGAGTACAGATTCTGCTTCAATGATGTTTTCCAAATCAGTGATGACACTGAAGTTTTAAAGAGAATGGGTCTGGATTGTGGCTTAGACAAAGGCAGCAGTACTCCTGAAGATATAAATAAGGCAAAGAATTTGGTTCCTAAAGCTTTGCAGCCATATATCAATTGTGAGTTTTGTACTAGCTTCAGAACTTTAAACAAAGCTTCATTTTATTATTATTATTTTAATATTTAAATAGAAATTTTGTTTGAAAATTAAAAAAAATTTTTTTTTAAAGTTATGCTGATTAAGTGCTTTTATCAAGTGCCCTGTGCTTTTATCGCAAGCATTATTTGAAATAAAAATAGGTATAATTTAAACCCTCCAAGCAGTCCGTTGTTTGGCCACCAAACATTAAATTTCCCAAAAAGACAATGAATAACTAGTATTTTCTTCGTTATGATTCCAAAATGACCCTTCCAGTATATTACATGGCATCTCTTTTAATGCTATTTAAATTTAGAGTCAAGAAGCTTAAAGTAGTAAAATGTCAAGTAATACAATTGTAACTATTATAATAATGTTCATATTGAGTTGTTATATTGAATGAGTATTTTGTAATAATTTTTGAATTGAGCTGAAATTTTTATTAATTAGATTTGTTTGTGCATATATTTCCATTTATTGGCCTTATTTCTTATATGTACATCACAGCGTAATTATTTCACACAGGATGCAATTTAGCATTCTTGGTAGTTAATGTAAATTTTACTTAAAACATTAGCTGGTGGTTTTTGATTGGATTTGCAAAATTTTAAGAATGGTCTGTAGTAATAATAATAATCTATTTATCGTGTAAATAAAAACTGTTCTAGATCACAGGTCTTCAAAGTACATAGTGCTGTTTAAAATGAGTTGATAATCAGTGTATAAGATCAAATGCAAAACAGCACAAAATTATGCATATGAAACAAAATTTATTAACCCTCTGACTGCTCAATTTGTAGACCGAAATTGCTTAAAAAATTGTGAAAATTTTTTTTGCATATTTAAAATCTATATATATTGGAGAATTGAAAAATTCATTTTTTCTTTCTAGAAAATAATTTTTTTATATAGATTTTTATCATGAGAACCTAAGTTGCTAGAAAAACCGATTTCAGATGTTATCACCCCCAAAAAAATTTTTCTAAAATAAATTTCAGTCGAATTATAGTTAATTTCTATTTATTGAATAATATAAAAAGTAAAATATATAAAATTTAAGAAAATATGAGAATAGCAATAATTTAAGAAAATAACAAAAAGCACTGAGAAAAAAATACCTTAGAAATGCAGTTTAGTATGATAGAATTTAAAACAGGGTTCAAGGCAAAGTCCAACTTCACAGTTTTTGCACCAGATTCAATAAATCTAATTAATAATTCTATAATTTAATTAAATAATCAAGATAATTGCTGAATGTTTTCTAGCAGCCATTTCCAAGTTTGCCTTCAAGTGCCGCAGTTTAGTGGACAACTAACAATATCTGTTGGCGGAAACGTAAACTAAACGCCTAATACTGTATATAATTTAGTTAGGCGTTAAACGGGGAAAAAACGGGATGTGCTCCTCAATAAAGGAAGAAAAACACATGCCCGCAGGATGAGCAGATTTTGCTACATTTGAGTTGCCTGTGGAAATCGTGGGATGAGCAGCCAGAGGGTTAATAATAAAACAAATTAACAAAAAATATTGTGTAAAATCATTTATCTGAATAATGTAGATGCATTTCAGTTTTATTTTGGCTAATGCTTTTTGTACAAGTGAGGCAGGTGTGCTTTTATTATAATCATTGCTTCTCTTTTTGCTGCTAAACTTTTAAGATAGTAATAATTCTAAGAACCTAAGAATAACATAATTTTAGGGGAAAAATTCTACTAGACTCATACTGGAATTAGAAAATAGGTATCAAGAATTAGCAGTTACAGATAATAAAGTTTTTGTATTCTGTTTGTTTTTATGTAAACTCTTGCTTTGGCTGTGACTTTCTTTAAGCCATTTTTCAAAATAATCTGAAATTAGATCACAAATTTTGGGTATGATTGTTGAAAGCAATTAGTTATATTACTGGCTATAATAACTAATATGAATTTAAAGTCCTTACCACATTAAAAGATCCTTTGTTCCTTATATTGCACTTTGTGAAAGGAATGCAACTAATAATTTTTGGTTACAATGCACTCAAATTTTTTATAACCACAATTTGATTGTTAACTTTAATTATTTTATGCATTGAAAGTCCAAACTTTTATTCCAAAATATTTTCTACTAATGGTTTTTCTTTGAAGTAAATTTGTAAATGAGGCACCAAGTCAGATTATGATCAGATCCAAATAAGCAGTTATCCAACTAAAGTATAGAACCCTTTTAAAGGTACAGGCTACCCTCTCCTAACAGTGCTCAGTTAGTCATATTGTACTGTAGGTAGAAGGCAACTGTTTTATTATTGTCATTCAAAGACTGATCAAATGTATATTCTTTTTCTGTAAAATTTAGTAAATTTTCATAAATTTATAATAAACAAATTTTAATTGTAATTTTTTAAATATTAAGAAAATGAAATGCAATTAAATCATTTTATTTTTCTAACCATCTTATTCCCGTAAAGAATTCGTTTTCACGCCGGGGAGAATAATACCTTCCAAGTTTGCAATCTTTTATAAGCCTTTTACATCATTTATAGTAAAGATATGAAATAGTCATAATGTAAGGAAGAACATTATTAAAAAGTTTTAAGCTATGTGTTAGCTATTAAGCTAAAAGGCTTTTGAAACTGATACTATTTATAAATGTAATTAAGTTTGCAGGAAAGAAAACTTCCTCATGACATGCAACTATGCATGATGCTTCCTCGCATATGCTTAATATACGAGGAAGCATCATGCATAGTTGATGCTAAGATTATCATCATGAAATTGTAAATACTCTATTATAAATTTATTAAAATAAAGCTGATATTAGTATGATGTTACACTGTCAAGAATGTAATGTAATACTTACAGAGAAAAATCTTTCCTTCCAGTGATGTCTCAGGGAAAAACTGATTTACCACCAGGTATGATTAGTGAAGGTAATGGAGTGAAGATTGAAGGTGACTACTTCAGTGATCCATCGAGGTTTGTTTATTGGTGTGTATTGTTTTAAAATGACTAATTTTATTCTTGTTTTGAAATGTCTGTAGCAAATTTCTAATGGAGGGCTTTCATAGTCCTTGTGAGATATATTTTTGAATTTCATTGCATTATATTGCCAGTATATATAGATGTTGCACATGCTTCTTTATCTGGTCAACTGGTAGAAATGAAAGTCACGTTATAGAGATTGTTGAACAGAGAAAAAAAATGGAGCTGTCTAGTTAAGTCATAGAATTTCCTGCAAATACAAAATCTGTACATAGTACCTGCTTCAAAATATTAAAAGGGCCTGATTATTTAAGAGCAAATGCATTTTAACCTCAGTAACAGTAATAGGCATTTTGATTTGTCTATTTTGGGGATGTAAAAGCATGATTGGAGAATATTTTGCAAATTTTAAACTTATGAGATGTTGAATTTTATCACATATTTTATTTTGCTGCCATTTCTCTATAGACTCTTCATGCATAATGTTACATTCCATGAAGAGGCAATTGTATAAACAAATTTTAAAAAATACTGTTGAAATTTTTTTTTTAATTTAAAATTTCTGTATTGAAATTCTATGATACTTAACATGCCTGAAAAATCTAAAATTTCTTTTATTAGTATTTTATTTGATTTTAAAATTAATCATAAATAACATCTGGTATAAATGAAGTTACTTAATTCATAAACAAACATCTGGTATTTATAAAATTGGTGGTCTTTTAACCTATTAAATAGAAAGGCTGTTCTGTCATCCTTCCTGTTTAGCGGGTGATATCCTATTTCACTGATAAGCTAGCTGCCATAGAAATGAGTACAGTTTGATAGAAGTGTATTTTTAAAATATATATTGTCAGTGCCTGAGCAAATGGTATACTGGCAGTCACCAATGACTGATGCATTATGAACAGAAAGTATGTCAACCACCAATGAATGACACATTGCAAACAGAAAGTATAGTATCAGTTGCTGTGATTGACATGGCACTTAGCATGTTAAAATGTTTAGTTTTCCCTTAAGTTTTAGACATCTAATTACATGAAAATCAAAACTAGAAAATGTTTTGGAAGAATTTATGACCTGATTTGATGACATAAATCTTTAAGAGTTTTCATCCTATAATTGTTCCAAAGATTCTTTCCCTTTTTTGATGTGTAGAATATTATCTGTAATTTGTGCCAATCAAATTTTTGGCCAAAATATGTTGCAACAAATAAAAAGAGTCTGATTTGATTATGTGCTATCTGTAGGCTATTCATTCTGTTACTTTAAAGTAAAAACTTCAAGGTTGTTTTCAGTGCCTGATTTGATTCATAACCATAGGAATAAAATACTGGAAAAAAGGTCAAGTTGCTTAATCCCACCCCTATCTCATTTCCATTTAGCAAGTTTTCTTTCATGAAAAGCATGCAAATGAAGGCTTAGTTGACATACTGAATGATGCAGAGAAAATTAATGTTGTGAAATTATGACAATATGAATTATAATTCCAGATGAGGATGCTGGAAATGGCTTTGTAGTGCCTGTTTGAAAGTAATACACTATAAAACATAGCCTTTGACATTTGAGGTTATAATGCAATCTCTGTATTTCTTATCATTCTTTTAATATTTCATTTTCATGGAAGTGACTTCCTAACTTCTTCTGTAGAGACTTTAAAATTCAAAGTACTAAAGCAAAAGTTTTAATTTTCAGAAATTAAGTGAAGAAACATTATTTTTAAAATGTTTATTTCATGTTGTTTTGAAATAACTTCTCCATATTCTGGATTAAATGGAAGGAACATACTTTCACTTTCTGTTATTTTGCAATTTCTTTTAAATAAATATATTACTATTATTAAATTTGGGTTTGTTATTTATCTGTATACTGTTTTATGCAGTGAGCTTCAAGAAGCCTCTTCTTCTTCATCGGGACCTGGCTCAGAGTATGTTGACATAGAAAATGCTTTAGATAGTACCAAATCTGTATTGTCACGCCAGTCAAGCGTGGGATCCCTTTCTGACCTCCCTTCCCGCCCTGGGACAAGCACGCCTTCCGAAGACTACTCAGACTGTGATTCGGAATCGCTGGATGGCGAAGAATCAAACTGAAGAACTGGAAAAAATGAATTGAACTGTATTGTTATAATTACAAAGAAGTACCAAGAATTTTCATTTCTGGCATTATGTAAGTAAGTTTTGATTGTCAATCATATCAGTTTGAATTGGAAAAATATTCGCACACATTGTCTGAAAGGATAAATATGCCATTTGTGCGATTTTTCCAGCTGAACGGAATACTGCGTACCTGAAGTGCACTGAATATTCTACTAAGACTATGCCTTTTTCTAACTATCTTGGCAAGTATACATACTTGCCTTTGTGATCAAGCCTCCTTCCATCCAGTAACTGTTCTTTATTTTCTCTTTGTATGCGAAACATTGTGCATTGTATGATTGTACAGAGGATGCCAGAATTCCATTGATGTTTTGTATTGTCTAATGTCTGCGAGACTGATGGCCGACGGACTGGCTGTTTTTTTCCTTTTAGCTCTTTACAAAGAAATATGTGTATAGGTCACGTGTGAATATGACATTTTCTCTCTCTGGCGTGCAGAAAAAATATATTTGTGCTACACATTTCTGACAGATTTAGAACAATGCCATTATTACCAAATGTACACGCACAAGTCTTGTGTAACAAGATGAACTATGCCCAAGGTGTTTTTAATTATAAATTTTTCCTCTGCACCACTACATAGTCAGCAATAGTTCAGTAAATGGAAACACTCTACTCTGTTGGTTTTTTCATTTGTCAAAATTTTATTGGCTGTATATTTTTCATTATTTTTGTCATGTTATCATAACCAGTTTTTAAATCAATACTTTGTCGTATTTTAAAAATACTTTTTTAAAGATAAAGAATTGGTTGCATTTTTATTAATTGTAAAAATTGTTTGTCATCAAATTTCAATCATTGTTTTTAATTTTAAAACCACATTATTATATATAAAACTTTTTGTTTTTATTTAGGATATATAATTGTTTTTAAATAAAAGTTGTTGATATGCAATTGTTTATTAATATTATTTATAAATAAAATATTTTTACCTTAAAATTTGTAACATTTCTGTTTTTTAAGATTATGATTTGAATGGTAGGTAAAATGCCCATTTTTTGAAACCAATTGAAAAATAAGCATTGCTGATATTGATACTTATGTATTAGTGCAACCCTGGTTTCAGAATGTACCAAATTTTACACCCATTCGCTTACAATTCTTCTATTTCAACAAACAACATCACCATTTTCACATTTGTATTTTTTGTTATATTACATGTTCTGATGGATTTTACAGACAAATTGATATTTTTTGGTTTCAAACTCAGTTTTAGACTATGCACTTAATGGGGTTTGCCTGCTATGGAAGAAATTGATATAAAATTTCTGCAGGAATAAAATAATTTGCCTCAAATTCACTAAAGGGAACAGTTTCTTTGAATCTATTCTCAAAATGATAGCTACAAAATTTTCACCAGAAAAAAAGAAAAACTTGCTTGTAATTAAATTAAACTCTTAATTAGTTTTAATGATTGATTTTTGTAATAAATACCTAATTAAAAACAGTTAAGTACAGTTATAAGTAATCATTCTTTTTCTTCAAAAAGTTGCCATAGGGTGGCAAGTTTGTTGCATTAATACATAAGCACCCTAATATTTTCTTTTATTAAATGAGGAAATGTTTTTATCAAAATTGTTTTATGAAAAGCTTTTTTATGCAGTGTATTGCAGTTAAATATGTTTTAATTACTGAAACTTTATTTCAAAGAAAACATACGTTTTTAATTAATTTGGAAGCTTCTAATTTTGCAAATAAGAGTTCAATTATGAAAAAGTATATTTCTTTATTACGTTCAACCTGAAATAAATTGTCATATTCATATTCCACTGTGCCAAACATTTATGCTATTTTTAAGTTTATAACCAAATTTCACAAATAGATAATTAAATATGTATAATTAAATTTTCATTATCATAACTTGATTTAAATTACAATATATTGAATTGACAAAAATTTTTGGGTGATACTTGGTATGGTAAGAATTGGATACTGTGTAAAGATTTTAGATTACAAATGAAAAATAATTTTTTATACTAGTCTATTAAAAAGAAAATGGATAATTTTATACGGGTTCTTAAAAATGATTTTGTGTAGTCACAGCAATATTCATTGTAAGATAATTTCAGTGAATAATGACAATATTTATGTTAACTTGTGTAGTCTTGCAGAATCTAAAAGTATTTTACATAAAGGCCAGTTATCTAATTCGTTTAAATAAATAAGAAATATGCATTATGTTTTATAAGAAGCTGCATTTAAATAGCCTTATGTTGAATATCTTGATGTTCATTATATCTAGTCCAGCATATAACAACATGAGTTTGATTTTTGTAAGTTTTGCTTTTTTAAATTGATTATGATTATGTTCAAGGTTATTTTTCTTCTATGTGAAAGTACATTATGAATTAAGAGATAAGCTTTATAAGCCCAATAATTGGCAATTTATGGCATCTGAATTTTATCTTATGCATTAAAAATATCTGTTGTAGACAGCAAATCTTGAATATTTTTTAATAAGATTTTTGTAACTTTTTGGGCTTCAGACTGAAGTGAGTTAGTCAGTTTTCTTTAAAAAATCAAATATTTGATAATTTTAATGTATAGGCTACTGTAATGTCTCACTTAATGCATGTTGAAGTCATAGAATAAAAGTTTTTATTACATATATGTGCATATTGAAGTAAAACATTATTTCCTTTTTAGGAAAACTTTCAAAGCAGAATTTAAATGAATTAATTTGATTTTTTTAATTGTTCTGAAAGTATATTCATAACACTAACGAAAAAGGAGTAGGCATCAACTATTGATAATGATGTCCTCTAGATCAGTGGTTCTTGACCTTTTTGAGCCGCAACCCAAATTTGAGAAAAATGTTTAATGTCGCGACCCCAAAAAAGTCAATATTTTTTCATTGCTTTATTTTAGAGCATATTTGTAAAAACCTTTAATCTTACAATGATGACTTATTTAACTTACAAATTTTTTATTTTTTTTATAATAATAAAGTTAAACAAAAGTACTTTTGATCCAAGAAAAATTTAATAAATAATCAAGTGTTTTTAATATTTTTATTGACGAAACTAAATAAATTTAAAACTTTTTAAAAATAATTGAAATTTAATCTTATAATAACATTTTATATGCTTTTAATGAGAACCTTATGCTTGAATACATTTTGAAGATATGCAAACCTGGGTTGAATGCTTGTCAAGGAGCACCTTAAATCTATTTCTGGATTTAACTTGTTCCGGTGGTTGTTTTTGATTACACAGAGAGCCGAAAAACCAGCCTCACACATATATGTTGTTGAAAAGGGCAATAATACTTTTAGGGCTTCTTTAACAATTATTGGCTTTTCGGTTTTTAGATTTAACCAGAAAGCACATAAAGATTGAGTGTTTTTGTAAAAATTGTATCGAAGTGCTTGGTCACTTTGAATTTCTATTAATTGTTCTTGAGATTGATTAATATTAACAAATTCCTCATGCAAATCACTTACGTCAAAATCAAATGGCATTCGAACCCAATTATAATAAAAAAACATGGTCTGCAGGAAAATACCGATCAAAGTCTGCTATTAGTTTTTCTAAATGATTGATAATAATTTTCTGTATTTCAAAATCTGTGATATTAATATTCTTGTCTTCAACAAGTAAATTAAGAGTCGGAAATGAAGCAAGTTTCTTTACTTTAACCTTATTTCTCCATAATTTGAGTTTATTTTTAAAACATGTAATTTTTTCAATTAATTCAATAATAGTATGATTACGTCCTTGCATAGACGTATTTAGATTATTTATTTCAAACAAAATATCTGCCAAATAAGCAACTTGAGTAATCCACTTCAACTCGGAGAATTTAGATGCTAATGGGTGTTTCTTTTCTCTCAAAAAAAATTCGACTTCTGTCCGCAATGATAATACTCTTTGAACAACTTTGCCCCGGGACAGCCATCTAACTTCAAAGTAATATAATAAATGTTCGTATTCTGCACCAAATTCTGAACACAGTTCGCGGAAAATTCTACAGTTAAGAGCTCTTGATTTTATAAAATTGACTACCGTAACAATTTCATCCAAAACGATACTTAATTCGGGCGATAAATTTTTTGAAGCAAGATTTTGTCTATGTAAAAAACAATGAACCGATAAAATTTGTGAATTCATTTGTTTTGCTCTTGTCGAAAAACCCTTTTGAGATGCTGTCATGGCAGCTGCACCGTCGGTGCAAATACTGAAACACTGATTCCAATTTAATCCTTCTTCTTTAAAAAACGAATCGACAATGAGAAATATATCTTCACCTCTAGTTTTTGTTGACATTGATTTGCAAATTAAAAAATCCTCCTGTATATCTGTTAATCCTGGATACCGCACGTAAACCATTAGTTGAGCATCGTTACTTACATCTGTCGTTTCATCCAGTTGAATACTAAATAAACCAGCAAATTTTATAGCAGAAATAAGTTGATTCTTAATATCAAACGACATATCATTAATTCGTAAACGAATTGTATCATTTGATAATGGTACCTTTTGTAATTTCTTTGAAATTTCATCTCCGCACATGATACGTGCCATGTCAATGGCAGCAGGTTTTATAAGTTTTTCAGCAATATTATGGGGTTTCTTTGTCTTGCAATATGCCAAGCCACATAAAAAGAAGCAAGTGTAGCTTGTTTGGTAGAAATTAGAAAATTATTACTACTTGGTGCATCTAAACGCTGTCTTTTTAAATCTGCTTCTTTTCTTTCGAAAAAAGTACGATCTTTTCCCTCAAAGGAAAAATTTTTATGTTTTGCATCAAAATGTCTTTTAAGTTTGTTCGGTTTCATCGATTCATTACTTAGTATTTCACTGCACAAGACGCATTGCGGCTTGTTCATTCCTCCATCATAAATGCAAGTAAACCCTAATTCTAAAAATGCTTCCTTGTATTCACGTTTTGCCATTTTAGGGTGATTACAATTTTACAATACGCACTGCAGCTTGATCACTCCAATTTTAATAAACCGACAAAAATTGTTTCTAAAATGCTTGTATTCACGTTTCATGATTATTACACTTTCCACTGTTATTCACAACATAATACACAGAAACGAGTTTTTGACAAAGAACTTGCAGCGGAGTGCAACTTTTTTACGTAAATATCATTAATATGCAAACAGAAATTAACAGACTACAATTTTCCGTTATTACTTCTTTATTCACACGAGTTAAATTGATAATATCTGCTTACATGTTTACAACCAACGGAAATTCCCCGGTTTCTTAAAAGTTGAAGTAAAAGTAGCTGATTGAAACCGCTTTTAATTTTTAACAAAAGGTGTCACTACCTGAGAATGACTATGTTACCTACAACCTTATTGTGTCTGCGCGCACGTAAAGCAATGGCGTGAGTATTACCAACACCTCATAGAAGAAAGCTATAAGACAGAAATTGGATGTCACTTCTAGAAGGCCATTCGCGAAGAGCGGTAAAACCAATGCATTGTTTTAGAGAATAACTTGTATTAGAAAAAAAACTCTTCTAGTAGGTGTTGGTATTACTTATTTTTGTATATTAAAAGTTTTTTTTAATTTGACTTAGCGCGACCCAAAAAATATGCTTTGCGACCCATAGGTTAAGAACCGCTGCTCTAGATTGTTAAAATGAAAGGTAAACATTTTCAAAATTTTCATACTTTTTCTATCAATTTTAATATTATGTAAATAACTTTTACTGCTTTATGCAAAGTTTAAAAGTCTAATTCATTTCAAGCAGTAAATTTTAAGAAGAAAATAATGTGATTTAATTTGGTTATTTATTAAGTACATATAAATTACCTATTTGTAATTTTCCAAATTTTGTTGCTTTTGAACTGGAAGTTTCTATTAGTAGAAGAATTGGTAAAT